ACAAACTGTAGGAATTTAGCCCACAGACATACATTAACCATGGTTTTTATACTTGGATAATTTTACCCGCTTCAAGCTGTGCCAGGTTACCAAGTAGTCGAGTGAATGACGGTCGAGTGAAAGTTTAGCGTCCGAAAAAAAATTCGAGAGCTCGCACTCATTTGAAATCGGGTGTAATTGCTTTGGTTTGTTGAATAAGAGATATATGGAACGACTGCATGGCCTCACGATGGCCTTTTACCCATATTCCGATAAAAAATGAATCAACTCTTGAACCTAGAAGCAGATTCATTAATTCAGGTGTATTGTTAAGCAGTCATAAATGCCAGAACTTAATACTTCAACTGCAACCAACTTAGGACAAAACATTTGAGATGCAAAATAGCTCAAACTTGTCGAGCAATATCGTTGAAGATGTTCAAGTTTAGCTTTAATGTTTTTTATAGTCAGTTTTTATAGTCAATTTCTCGTTGCACGGCAACTTGCCAGTGCTTAGGCAAGATGTAAGAGAAAAATTAAAGAATAGTCGATGTTTTTTGAATCTCGTATAGCCAAGCAAACTACATCCCAGAAGCAATGAACCATGAAATCAAACAATCAATCAATCCAAACAATCAGTAGATCATAAGATAATAATAATCTTTATTGAGGAAACTTTTTCATTTACAAAGAAATGGTTTTCAAAAAGGACCTCCTTCTCATATTCTAGTTTTGTGGTCCAATTATTTGTGGTCGTTGAAATACATTTTGTGATTCTACCGTGTAAACATATACTCAGATATTTACTACATATCGTTTAAGGCCATGAGTATGCTGGCTCCAAAAATTGTCAACATGTTCTATTACACCGGCAGCAAAGATACCGCACCCAATTGCCCAGTAGAATTGAGACCAGATCTTAATCCTACYAGCGGTATTCAAAGTTATGACGGAAGTACTARAGACTGTAAGCTTCCTGCCTACTACAACATCCCATTCTTCCTCAAAGACTTGGGTCCAAAATTCTCAGAATGGAGCATAAACGCTCACGAAACGCGACCAGGTCATCATATACAGGTATTGTACAAGAAATGTTTAAATACTTGCAAAGCGGCCGAAGTAATCCTACAGCCCCAAGCTATGTTAAAATAATAACGTCCCCTACATGATCCCCAATATAAGTCCAAAAGTGCTTTATACACTTATTTCAAAAAACGTTGTCGTCACCACGACACAGTCCAATGTCTTGAGCCTGCAAAGAATCTCGGTGTTACCATGCGTAATTAATATATTCAAAATGTATTGTGGTTTGAATTCAACGGCGACAAACAGTACTAATATATGTAGTGTCGTCTCGTTTTCAAACCGTCAATGAGTTTCAATCTACTTTCGCTACAAGACCGAGAATAATCCACTTCGAATTCTCTAATTCTCTGTGTCAGCCTCATTTGTGCTCAAAATATTCCTAATTGTGAGAATAAAAGTGAGGGATTTCAAATCAATTCTCTCTCAAGTCTCTCTTTCTAAATTCCATGCGTTTTCTCGGGCTATCAATGAAACAAAAGAATATGTTGCAGGGGCGGATCCAGCATTTTATAGAGGGGGGGTGCTTTTGTCAGTAATATGCAGCTAAAAGCTAAG